TAAGTTGCATATATCAAGTATTTAGTCTCAAGTAAGGAAAAGCTGGCCCATACATGGAGCATCAGGAAGATGTGACCTGTGGCAGTTTTGTTAACTTTTTCAGAGCCAGTTTGTTCATATATAATAATAAATTAATAATTTTTCTTTTACAGGGTTAGACATGGCAGGGGCAAATGGGGGCTGATACATTAGTCATTCTGACCTGTACCCCACCTGGTTCCAAAAATGATATGAATGACTTACAGAATGATGCACATTTTTTTAAACTGGAAAAAAAAGAAAATTAGAACAAAAGAAAATAGATTGGAAAAAAGTAAATCAAGCCAGACAAGTAAAGTTAAGGCACAAGCCATATTCATAAAAAGGCCCCAACAGACATTTCCTCTTGGAATTCCTGCTCACAGTTTCTGCCTGGAACTTATATTTAATATGTCAGATCCTGATCATGGCACATAAAGTAACTTCACACAGATCCCTACTTTCTCAGTTTCTGTCTGTGTCCCCTCCTCCTCTACAGCATTTATCATTCCTGACATAATGCATGCAGTATTTTATATTACATATTTACTAATTTGTCTTTTTGCACTAAAATGTAAGCTTTATGAGTATAAGGGCATAGTTTTTATTGCTGAATCCCAGGACCTAGAAAAGTGCTTTCTGCCATAAATCTGTGTAATAAATGAATGAACTCACTGTGGTAGCCAAAATAATGCCTCTCCAAAGATACCTGTATCCTCATCCACAGAACCTGTGTATATTTCACGGCAGAAGGGACTTTGCTGGTGGATTGTGAAATGAGAGAATTGTCTTGGATTATATAGCTTTATCCAAGTAATCACAAGAGTCTTCATAAGTAGAGGGAGGCAGGAAAGTCAGTGTTAAGGAGAAATTTGAACATGAGCTGCTGCTGGCTTTGTGAACTGGAGTGCAGAGCTATAAGCCAGTGAGTGCATATCCTTGGGAAGCTAGCAAAGGCAAGGAAACAGCTTCTCCTCTTCTTCATAGGTCTGTGACGCCCAGATTTACTCAGTGAGATCATTTTAATTTCTAATCTCCAGACCAAAGATAATGAATCTGTATTGTGGTAAGTTATTCTAGCAGCAGTAGGAAATGGATACATCCTCTGCCCTTACTGGTTGGTACCCTTCTCTGGAATAGGGGCCTGGTTTTTCATGACCTTGCATGTCACAAGAGCTCATTGTTCCTGGAGCACAGTAACTTGAATTTTACACAGGCCCCCTAACCAAGCATCGTTCCTCTCTTTGCTCACCATAATGCCTAGTGAGTGAGGTATCACTGAACACAGATGAGTTTTCTTGGACAGTTTAAGACATAAGATCCAAAAACTGGAGATCTGCTGAGAAACAGTTCACTTTTCATCTATGTGAGATTCTCATCCATCATTGAGGAAGACTCATCTCACCCACTTAGACACTTTGCAGACTTTACTGCACTTATACAGTTTGAGGAGCATACATGAGGTGTTCTTACAAGATGCCTCAGAGGTCTCAAAGCTGATTGAATGAGCAAAACCAAAAACCCAAGAAGCTAGGAGAGCAGACTAGAAGACCTGTGCTAAAGGAGATCAGACGGAATGTTACCAAGCTGGAAATTGGGACCAAATTGAAAGAAAGAAGCCAGGAATACATGAGAAGGATTATAGAATTGGAAACTGTCTCAGCTGCTTTTTTTTTAAAGGTCAAACAAGGCCAGGTATACAGTGGTTTTAATACCAGAGATTTGCTTCATGCTCACACAAATCACTGCTTTTTCACCCAGCCATGCTTTCCTATAAGACACAAGAGTGTTTTGAAGCACCATGCAGGGTATTGCTGTTTTTCCCTAGACAGTCTAACTTTAATGAACAAAAATGTATATTCTACTAAATCTGAAGTCCTGGAATCCAAACAAAAATACCTTGAAAACTGGTAAAACTAAGAAGATCTCACAAGGTATTATACAGAGTTTCAGATCTGATTTTTTTCCATCTTCCTTGTATTTTTTAAAAGAAAACTATAACTCATGCCTGATATGAATAAGACCCTTTTTATTATAAACATTTAGGTTTAAAGTGATTATAACTGACAGTTAAGACCAACAGGAGTCAGTAGCCTGTTAATGGACAAATTATCCGTATTTCAGGCTGGATCAAAAGTAAACATCCTTTACAGTCCCTTCAGGTCTGCATTAGTCCTCGAGGAAGCCAAGAGCAACACACAGGCCCTTACAGCCCCCGCATAGTCTCTGGGCTCATTTTACAATGAATATTTTTCCAAACAAATAAAATATGCATTTTTGAACCATTTTCACATTTAAGTTCTTATTGATCTTAATCGATACTCTGACTTCCTTAGAAGAATATTGCAAAAGACTGAGGCTGTGTTGTTTTGTAATCTTGTCAGATTAGTGTTTTGCTAAATAATGGTACAAGACAGGAGCTATTGTAATGACCTTCACTCTATTTTTTAGTTAGTTTTTGCCTTTATTTTTTGTAAGAGGAAATAGTGAGCTTGTATCATTTAATAAATGTTTGGAAAGGTTTAGTCTTGCCAAGTGTTTTAAATGATAGAGCTGTATTCCTGAATATCTGCATAAGAAGATACTGATAATTTAGCAGTAGCACAGGCATTAAGGGAAATCAACATTCTGAGCCATGCAGTAGTAAAACTTGTCACACCAGCAGTGGTGTCACTTGTCCCTGAGACTATAAAAGCATATTAGAAGTTAGCTGTAGGGAGAAATGTCCTCTGGCTTGTCATTGGTTCTAAAAGGCAGTCCATTTTAAACAAACACAGGCCCCCTTTTGGAACCTGTATAATAAACTCAGACACATTAATCTCCACTCGTGTCTTTAGTTAGGGTCTGACCTCTAACTCTCCCAGCCCTAATGGAAGGAAGTCAGGGCCCACTGACATTAGCTAGCCAAAGTTTGTGTAAAGGTTCAGATGTGCCTGTAATCGAATAAATGTCCTTCCTCAATTTGAGCTTTTATTGTGTTCTGTAAGTCAAAAATGTCTCTGTATTATACAGTACAAGATTGTGTTATTGTCTGTATGTATGTACATACTTTAACAGTATTGAGATAATCATGAAACCTGACATAAGAGAAAGCAGAGAGAAAACAAGAGGTCACTTCCTGGTTGGTCTCTAGACAAAGTACTGTCTTTAAAGAGCCAAAAGTTTGCTTTGTCCCCTGCCTCTGCTGCTGGCAAATTTGTATGACCAAAAGCATCTCACCAGATCTGCCCAGGTCTTAGTTGCTTTATGTGTCACTGAGAAGAAAAATAGCTTCCCTACTAACTGTGGGAAATTGGTAAGCATGAGAAGGGTAAAAAAATGTGAAAGTCCCCAACAAAGCCTGCATATTAACAAAATGCCAGTATTTCAGAAGAGAGCTGCTTTCTGGAGAAAAGAACAGATAGACAAGGATGTTAGACTACATGATTATATTCTTAGCGACATCAGAAATAGGATACATTCAAGAAATAAACACTAACTGTGGTTATGGACAAAAACTACTTTGATATAATATGAAATTTAAATGAATAAAGTAGTCCTAAAAATAAGTTAGAATTTTAAAAAGGTAATAAAATAATAGAAACTTTCCAACCACCACATTCTGTTCTTATTTAGTTACTAGTGTCTCTCAAATGCACCTGGGCAAAACATGAGGTGAGCATAGATTGTTTTTCGGGATGGGGGGGTGTGCCAGGAATTGAACTCAGGACCTTGTACTTGCTAGGCAGGCACTACACCACTGAGCTATATCCCCAGCACAAGCATAGAGCTTTAATGCCTGTCTCCCAGTCCAAGTTCCAGCTAAAAGGAAGACAGACCAGGAAAACTTGGGTTCAAATTAAAAACGAGGGAAAGTTGTCATCCCATGCCACTCCTGCCCAGCGTCAGACATATGCCAGATTAAAGGAGGATACCAAGCAGGGCCTCACCACTTCCCTTCCTGAGAAAAAGTGAAGTGTGAAACCTTAAATGTAAGGCTCCCTTGGAACAACAGTAAGGGGCCTGAGAGTTTGTGTGGATCAAGTATCTGTCACTGTTCCACATCTTGTATCTCCTCAGATTCAGACCCCATAAAGAAAAAAAAAGAGGGCTTCTTTCCAGGCCCCTCAGTAGAAGTCCCCCAATCATCCCCTTAGCTGTGAGTATGACACATAGTCCCCTGCCCCACAGCGGGCAGGGACTCAAAGTATGCAGCTGAGCCATGGGCCTGGGCACCCTCTAGCCAGAGCAAACAAGGAGGGGGCACCCGAAGCACACTGACAGCAGGGGAGGGAGGAGCTTCTCAGAAAGGAGCCTTTATAGTTTTTAGAAGGGAAAGAATGTGAGTGAACGCTTGGCAGCCGTGTTCACTGTAGCTGCCTGCTCTTGCTCCTAGTGCTCTGTGATGCCTGAGTTCAGGAATGAGGTGGATTCAACAAACCTTGCTGCTGTACTTTTGATTTTAAGACTTCATTTCCCACACAGTTGCCTCTTATTGCTCATCCAGAGCACTCCCTGCTTTGGTCCCAGAGATTCATATCTGAATAATCCCACACTTGCTTGTTCTCCTGTCTCTGGTCTCCACATCCCGTCCCGCCACATCCCTCAATGCTTGGACAGTTAGGACAGTGCCTGCAAAAACAAATGGAGTCTCTGCCCCCATGTAGCAACACACTCCTGGGTTTTTGAGGCTGCATGCTGTTCTGGTGGCTGCCTCCCCTTAGAAGATACCCTTTGTGTATCCACAAGGAAACTGTCATGTTTTGGGCCTCAGAAGTTCACATAGTCCTGTGCAGTTTACCCAACAAGACACTAAACAAAGTGGGGCTGCTGAGGCTTCAAAGTGTAGGGCTGCATTTGTTCCTAGAGGTTTCTTGTTACCTCATTATACAACTCAGATGGTTTGCTTTTAACGGTCTGCTTGTCGTGTTCCATTTGACCTATAAAAATGCTAACATCCCTTAACTAGATTTCTCTCAGAGACTTGAATGTTTCTTTGTCAGGTCATATAGTATATTTGACAATAATCGCCAGGATCCCACGGGGCTGACAGCTGCTCTTCAGGCCACAGATCTGGCTGGTGTCCTGCACATGCTCTACTGTATCCTCTTCCATGGCACCATCTCAGAGCCTAGCACAGCCAGTCCTAAGGAGAGCTATGCTCAGAACACTGTCCAAGTCGCCATACAGAGTTTGCGTTTCTTCAACAGCTTCGCAGCACTGGATCTGCCTGCTTTTCAGGTACCAAGTTTTGGTTTGCATTGCTGTTATACAGTCAGGGAATTAATATTTCAATGTGGGTATGATTTGAGATTCTTCTCCAGGATTAGGGCATAAAGAATAAACTATAATAAGTAGAATTAATTATATATCTGCCATTTATTAAGCTGCTGTCTTGTGGGAACTGTGTTAGATCTTCTGCAGTCTTCCTCACTTGTTCTCATAATGACACAGATGGAGACACTGGCCATTAGTACTTTGCCCGGAGTCCCACATGACAGAGCCAGAACTAGTTAGCTATGACTGTCTGCCCCCAAAACTCATTCTATGCCACACAGCTCTTACAAGCCTTCTGAGCTGAGTTCTTCAAATAAAGGTATTCTCATCAACTGTTAAATATGAAGAAAAGTAATGGTTTCTTATATAAATAGAACCACAGTTAAATACATTATTTTGATTGAAATCACTGTCTATGGGTGATTTAACTGGTTTGTGTACAATGTAAAGTACATACACAGTTAAATGTACAAGCCCCTATAAATTAAATCTTTATAGCTAAAGAGAGAAAAATTGCTTTATGCTCTAGGACTGGACTTTCAGTTTAAAAGCAAATTTTTTATGTAGGAAATTTAACTTCTAGAAACACTGAACCTTTGAAATAGAACAAGCCCCAAGGAGTAGACTTTCTCTTTCAGTTTATTAACTGTCAAGTGGTTTCATTTAAAAAGGAACAAACTTGGCAGATGATGAACCCATAATTTAGACAAATAACTTTGCTCAGAGGGAAAAGGTAATAGAGATACAAATGTATGAAAACAGTGCTCTTTGCCATCCCAAGATGGAAGAAACAATTCTGTTTTGCAGCTGCTGAAAATGTGCAATTCTGTAATTCATGTCTTCTTGTCATTCCGTTCAAAAGAGGAAATTAATAAGCTGTATCATTGCATCGGAACCATTCAGCTTTGTAGAATTGCTTTATCCACCCCAAGAACAGAAATTCTTCCCTCAGGGTTGATGTGTTTCTGTTTCTGAACCTGCCTTAGATAGCAACCACATGATGTGTAGAGTTCGAGGAGTTTATAGCAACACCTAAGTGGGAGATACCTGCCCGGAAAAGCCAGTGATTAAGCCTGTGGGTTCACAGTAACATCTGTACTTTATGAACATTCAAGTCCACTATGTTCTGTCTAGAAATATCTTAAAAATTAGGAAACCCTAATTTTGTCCTCGTGGGGTATCAAGCATTCTACCCATCAGGTTGGTCCAGAGCTTATGAAAAGACAAATATCTAGAAACTCTTTCAGCTTCTAGTTTCCTGGGCCTCCTGGCCAGGACTAAATCCATACTGCCACTGGGTACACCCCACCCTAAAATCTGGAGTAAGTCATTGCTTCCTGGACTCTTGGCTCCCTGCCCCACACTGCTGTGCTGCTCACTCACCTAGGGGTACTGCTGAACTCCAGCCTGCTCCTTGCTGGCCTTGAGGCACCATGGCCAGTAATATTAGAAAAATCAAAAGCATATTTCTGGAACCTTTCATGCCTACTAAGATAAAAACTAAGGTTTCTGCTCCCCAAAGCCTTGCCATTACAGTTTGAAGTGTGCTCCTACTTGAACCACTTTTACCAGAAACATCAGGAGAAGGCACCACCCTGCCAAGAGTGTTTGGCTGTCCTAAGAGTCAGATGAGCTGCCCTTGATGTGGAATGGCCTCAACTCACTGGGTTCTCATAGGACTGTAGCATTTGGCTTCTTTCTTCTCAATTTCTCAGGCAGATCTACTTCCTTCTTCTGTCTGTGTTCTGTTTCTCCTATTTCATTTATTTTACTCAGTCTTGCTGTCACTATTCCTCATTCTGTCCTCAGCCTTAGGCCAGGTAACTAGAGTATGGGCAGAATCCCTGCAGGGTTTTCCTCTTCTGTTCCTCTGACTTCACAAGATCCTGGCTGCTGTGCCTTTGGTCAAAGAGTTGTATGTCAACCACTCTGATTTTTTAATGTGCCTCAGCTTTCTAGATTGAAGAAGAGGAAGAAAGAAGCTCCCCTTTCCATGAGAGAAATGTCAGTGATCTGTGGCCATTTTTGTACTGCCATACTGCTCAGCAAGCTAAAATGACACCTCTCTCCACACAGCCACCATGAATGTAAAATACAAGAGCAAACATGCACCCCTCTATAAATGTGCACTGCATGCACGTAATAGTCATGGGTACAGTGGGGATAAAGGAACTATTTTTATGATAGATGTCATCAGAGAAACTCATGTTCCAGTTCATTGAAGCAACTGAAATGTCAAAGTGAGATGTCAGGAGTTAAGTTTATGAAGAGCAGGAAAAGAGATTTTAGGTAGAAAGAGGAGGATGTGCATCTCAGTAGGCATCTGACCTGAGAGACAACCCTGATTTCACAGAGAAGCTCGAGAAGGAAACTGATCCCTGTGAGCCACACCACAGGAAGCAGAGTTGTCACAGGGAAGCACCCTCAGCAGAGCCTGGGTCCCGGTCTGATGAAACTGACCTGGATCCATCACACCCCTGAGATAAGTCATCTAAACTTCAAAGGCATGGTACCCCCATCTGTAAATCAGACCAAAAGCACCTATCTACCTGTGCTGAGTAGAATGGCATGTGCCTGGAGTCCGAAGCAAAGGATTATGAATTTGAGCCCAGCCTGGGATACGTAGTGAGACCTAGTCTCAAACACACCTACAAGACCGATCATGTGGTAGAATTACAGGGCTAGAAGTATAGCTCTGTGGGAGCACTTGCCTAGCATTCGTGAAACCCCTGGTTCAATCACCATCTCTGTGAATAAAAAGATTTTAGCACACAGTTTGCACTCAGGATGTTGGGCTGACTCGGCCTCCTCAAATGGAAAGTTCTTGGACTGTATGCAAGATGTACAGTCAGAAAATCTAGGGTTTAAAGCAGCATTTCCAGTGTATCCAACCTTTCCTAGGTCACAACCTGACTGCTATATGCAAGCTGCAATGTATAACAGGATATAAGCAGAGCCACTGGTATGTTTTCTTAGTAGACTGCATCTCACTGCATACTAGTAAGGTTGTCAGGATATTCTCCCTGTACACAGAGTATGACTTCACTCTGAATTCATACTGACACAGCTGGCCCTGAGACCAGAGACATTGTAGATTGCATTCATGCTGACAGTTTTTACAATTGAAGGTGGTCTTGAGAAACAAATCAATGTACTGACTTGGCAATTAATTCTGTCTAAAAAGGAAATATAGTTTCCTTGAAAAATTGGTTTAATTTTTATATTCAAACTTACATGCTCCTTGACCTGCTCTTATCAGTGAAGGTTAAACAGGGGGCACTGGGTCACAGCATGCTGGACACAGCTAATTAAATAAGGGCTGAGTGAGAAGGTGTCACTGCTTGATTTAGAGGAGCAAAGCCCTCCTTCAGCTCCTCTTTGGAGCTTGAAAAACATTTTCCTACCTTGGGGCAATGAAATGGAGACAGAAGACACTCTTTAAAATTTAGCAGTCAATTTGGTTCAGCAATATCCTCTTGAAGGGCTCTTGTTTTACCCACTGCTCAGCAAAGTAAAGTCACAAACTTCCAAGGCGCAGCACATCTGCCCTGGTTCAAGCCCACCCAGACCTCAAATCAGGAGATGAGTATCAAACGCAGCCTTTTCCCACTGCCTGCAGCCGAGCTTCATTCCAGTGTGGGCCGCAGTGTGTTCTGTGGGCCTCGTCTCTCCCCTTTGGCCTCCTGTCGCTCTGTCTGTTTGACATGTTTATTAAATAGAAGCTCCAGGCTGCACAGGCAGCCCCCGCTGCTCCCCGATCCCCTGCCGGCAGCCTTGGTCTGTCTGCAGAAAGGATCCCAGGAGCCCAGGGCTGAGAGGAGCCTCCTGGTTGGAAGGAGCAAGGGGCCTTTTTCTTAAACATTCTTTTGGGAGCTTGTGGTTTATAGAGCTATTTATTTGAATAATCATTTGTTCTTATTTGTATTTTTTTTCTATTTGAACATAGGTGACTAAAAATATGTTTATCTCTTTGTACTTGAAAATATCCTCTGCTTCAAAAAAGAAATATTGGAAGCTACTTAAGTAATATATGTACATACATTTTAGTATTTTTATACTTTTCTAAATTTTTTACAGTATGAATATGAGAAAAAGAAATGAGAAAAATTAAGTTATTAAAATGGAATCAGTAAGCATGCTTTTGGAGACAATGTCTTACTCCACGTGGTGTCTGCATTTTGTCTGCTGTGCTCTATTTCCTGCTCCTCCTCAGGGTAAACATCACATCTGTGATGGTCACTAACAGAGCAAGCACCTATGAGATCCACTGCTAACCATAGGCCTACAGAACTGTCCTGTGCTGCCTGACCCTGCAGAGAGTGGACAGGCATGGCTTGCCATGTGATTTGCAGCACAGCTCTCCTAGGGCAGAGTCCTAACCACTCCTGTTTCTGTCAGTCTATTGTAGGGGCAGAGGGCTTGTCCCTTGCATTCCGGCACATGGCCAGCTCCCTGCTGGGCCACTGCAGCCATATCTTCTGTGAGAGCCTTCTTCATGAGGTCATTGTCTGCGTAGGCTACTTCACTGTCAACCACCCAGATAACCAGGTAAGAGGCTAGAAGGTTCCTGACCACTCCCAAGGCTGAGAGTGTAAGGTACCCAAATGACAGAAGGTAGGCAGGCATCTGGAGCCCATCTGCCATGGGCGTGGCCCTTGGACCAGACTCTGGGGATGTATCTCCGGCTTCAGCTCTCCAGAGACTTGATCAGTACTAGGCAGCATTAGTGTGTCCTCTCAGAGCTAGAAAATGTTTTAGTGGAATTGTCTTTAGCTGCATAGAACCACCTCCTCCCTTAACAGGTAAACTTCACTGTGTGTTCCCTTAGCACATATATTCTGATGTTCTGGTCACCAGTTGTTTTGCTGTTGTTTGGTTTGGTTTTAGTAAGGTAGTTTTTGCATGTTGCAACTTGGATCACTTTGCAAAGCATATTGGTCTGTGCTTTCTAAAATTGTTCTTAGCTCTCAGCTTCTGCTTCGGTATTCAGACTTCCAAACAGGCAGGAGGAGTCTGAGAGGCCGGGCTCCTCTCCTTGTTGAGGTCCAGACAAGTTTCACTTTCAACTCGTTAGCTTGGTTTCTGAGCAAGATTTCATGTGTAGGGCTGGGGATTTAGCTCAGCGGCATAAGTGCCTGTCTTGAAAAGCAGGCAGTCGTGAGTTCGATCCCCAGTACCGATAAAAAGGAAAAAGACAAAAAAAAAAAAAAAAAAAAAAAAAGATTTCATGTGTAAATAGGGCTTTTCTGATTTATGATGGTGGAAAATCTGTTATAAACTTGATAAAAATAATAAGGTATCTTGTTTCTTTGTTGTTGAAACCAGAGTTTGGCATAACTAACATATCAAATAGGTGGGAATCCCTGACAACCATATTTACCTAAAGCCCCCTGTGCATCCGTCTTAAGTCCATAGATTAGAGCTAAAAAATAGAACTCTGGGTTTCCCCTTAGCCTCATTGTAAGCTTGCTTACCTTTTACTTTAGACAAGTCTCAGACTGATGTGCTTACTAGGCCCATCAGCCTGCAGCAAACCAGACCAGGGAAGGAAGAGAGGAGATTAGTAGAGCCAAGTGCAGGGCAAGAAGCTGCTCACCAAGAGCCTACAATGCCGCCTAGCAGATAGGAGGAGCACAGAAAACAAGGGAGACCCAAGGCCTCAGAATTACAGCCTCCAAGGTACAAAGGACACTGAGCCCCATGCTATATTTCTCAGCAATTGAAGATGCCTTCTCTGCTGACCCTGTATAGCACAGAGGCAAAATGTGTTTCCTGCATAGTCCCTACACAAGGTTGACGAATGTATATTCTGCTTTAAAATGGTATTTCAATGGAAACATTAAAATATGGGCAATCCAGGGCCTTCCTAAAACAAGTATCAAATAGAAATCTCTGCTTCTCAGACCCTGTTACAGGAGAGCATGTGGCAGCCCTGCCTCATCCCCCAACCCAGAGCTGTCAGCAGTGCCTCCCTGCTGGCCCTCCAGGTGGAGGCAAATCATCCTCCATGCAGGCCAGGCCCAGAAGGTCCCCATTCTCCTGCAAGCTGCTCTGGGATCCAAGGCCTGGAGCAATTTTCCAGTAGATTTCTCTCCTTTGTGTGTATCCATTCAAAGTACTAAATTACATTTTTTCTCTTTAAAAGTTTGTTTTTCTGTTTGTAAAACTCCTCATTATTGTGGAAAAGACAGAGCAAGAATAAAAAATGAGATAAAATCACAGCTATTCCTGCTCACACCATCTGAGACAGCCTAACCCTTCTCTACCCTTTCTTAGGAACAGCTTTACAGACTGCACACTTGCTTGAGTCCTGCTCTTCACACTAGACCAGAGTTTCTCTCTGGGAATCATTTTAATGGTGCACAGTTCTATCTCGTGTGGACATTCAGTTTACCTAACAGCTTCCTGTTTTATGCTGAAGTGGCTCACTGTATCATGACCCTCGGGTGCACTTGTAAAGAGATAACGAATTTGCATGTGTGATATTAACTGTGTAAAGTTCTGCAGCAAAGCATTTATTTGTCTAACACATTTAATGGTAGGGATGTTTGAAACTTTTTGCATAAATCAATTTCATTGTGATACGCTGACGGGACTCAGAAGCACGTTGGATTTCAGAGAAATTTTCTGCAGGATCATAGACTAATTATGGGTCTTTGGTCTCACCAGCATGAACAGAGAAAAGGTGGGGAAGTGGTGACTGAACATGTTTGGTTGGGAAAAGAGCAGATAAAATGGGCAGAGAGAATATTAAGCAATAAGAGGCAGAGACTGAGACCCAAACATTTGTCAGTTGAGGGGGAAGAGGATGCAGAAAGATTTGGAGGTCATTACTGAGAGGTGAGCTCACTCTCAGGAAGAACCAGAAAAGTGAAAAAAGCCAGGCCTTGTGTTGACTGGACATCCACTTTCTGAGGTAAGGGAAACCCAGAGACATCACTTCAGGCCTAGAACAGTACCTGAAATGTAACAAAGCTGAAATCAGCAATAAATGATAAAAGTGAAAGAGATGACTAAAAAGTAAAAGAAATAAACCAGTAGAAAAGATAGTAATTGTAAAAGCCTGAGACACCACACTATGGAGACACTATTGCTAAGCGTTACTAATGTGTGTGCAGAGCTCTTCATACTGTTCTCCCCTTTATTGTCTTTTACCTCCGAGCACTTAAGGGAGGCTGGGAAACAGGTTATTCCTATCTCAGGTGGGTGAGGGGTCAAGGCTTTCAGAAGTGCCCTGAGCCCCCTGACATGTCATGGTGAATTCCTGGGAGATCAAACTGAAAGACAGACTTGCAAAGAGCTTACCCAGTGCACTTTTCCATCTCTCACTTTGCATAAAGGCAGTCAGGGGGCTAGATGTGAACAGCAGTGCACACTCACCACAGTGGTACACTGAGAAGGTGGTGGTCTGCCCTCTGGATGCTGATGTGGAAGTCTATGGGACATGTTTTTGTGTCTCACCCGGGCAACTCATAAAGATTCTGGGATGGCATAAGTAAACATGTTTCCTGAACACAAATGGACCACAGTTTACAAATCAAAGGCCTGGGTTCTAGCCCTCACTCTGTCACTGGAGATGAGTTCTTTCTCCTTTCAAGACTGGAGCATCTTTGACTGTAGAAAAGCTGACTGACCCTGGAAAGGGATAGTGGTGAGGTTTCCACAGCGTTGTCAGAGACTTCATGCTGCTGAATTGTAGGGTTAAAAGCGTTTGAACAGAGGGTATAGAGTGCCTAGAATGCATGAGGCCCTTCATTTAATCCCGGACCATAAAACAGTTTAAATAAGCAAATTGTACATTATGAACCCTTTACAAAATAAAGAAGGGGGAGGATGATTATGCTATGTAGTCTCATGAGCACAGAGTCCGACACTTTCAAGCTAAGACTGGAACCACACGCAGAGCAACACTGTGAACTTCGTGGAGACTCCACACCCTTCTGTGGGTCTCAGATCCTTCAGATCCTGACAGACCAGGCAGCTTGATGAACAGCCTGTCCACTGTGTTCACCATTCAAAGCTTAGGATACCTTGGCTCTCCCAGTAGGAAAAACAGGAGCCCACAGGCAGACCCACCAGGGGCTTCTTGCTGTGCCACACTGTATCCAGCCCTCATACTCATCTGTGCAGGTGGTCGCCAAGCAGGCTGCATGGCAAGAGCAGGGTGTGAGAAGTAGCCATGAGCCTGCTAAGGCCACTGCAACTCACAACCAGCAGAATTGGCAAAATTCCTTTAACTAAAACAGTGATACTTCTATCAAATTCCCATGCTAGTCTCCCCAAATCCAGCAGTTTTCTAGAAAGCACTTGTTGAGGGGACACAGTCAGTCCAGTCAGCATAACTTCTGTCACATACTCATCCCAAAAGTGCTCCAGCCTTAACCAGCTCACCATCGGCAGTCAGTTTGTACCCCCTTGTCGTCCACTTCCATTCTCATGGAAGTGAATTTATTTAGCTTGTGCTAGTTTTTCTAATCAGGAATTTCGTGGGGAATTTTTGATGCTTAATTCATTTAACATTTCTGTATCATTAGTCAGGAGTAAGGTTAATTCATAAGATGGGTTTTTGGCAGGAATTCGTTAATTTCCTACTGGGAAAAAAGCTTGTGTCCCCAAGACAGGGGATCCAGAAATGCTGCTGCAGCCCTAGTCAGTTTGATTAGGTCACCACTTTGCAAAAAGGATTGACATTTTTTTATTTGACACCACTTAGTCTATTAGCTGGAAGGGCTAAGCCCCCTGATACCAAGGATGACTTCAGAAGAGAAACCTAGATAATAAAAGTAATGCCCCATCCTTAATGGAACTAATCATCTCTTTCCTATAGGGTAGCAGTTTCTAATTAAAATGTTGTTGTTTTAATCAAAAGCCTCCCTATATTTTATGGTACTTTCATGACTCTTTCTGAATTCCTTGCCATTTAATTATTATAATGAACATAATTAGTATGTGCTGTCAGCCCTTCACTTTATTTACATTTTGTATTAGATAATTAAATATGGTCTGATAATTAAATTAATGGGAATGACAGATTATTTGACTGCCTGCATATTACTGCACTGGGAATAAGCACCTTTGCACACCCATTCTCCTTAGTGCCTGCCTTCTCCAGGTTCCAGCTGCTGAGCTGCAGTCTGTGACAGTTGAAGAAAGGGGACCCTTGCCCACCATGCCCCATGTAGTTCACCACAGTGAAGCCCACACTGATCCTGTCATCTGCTCTACATGGTGCTCTATGGGACTTCTGACTTGGACAGGTGGGCGAGCAGGTATTGAGGTGCTGCCCAAGACTGTGTATGTAGCTCATATTTTCCAGGCCTGCCAGGTAACTGATGACTTAGTGAGAAAAACACCAAAGCGTTAATTCAACCAAGTGTTCCCAAATTGAGTATGCTGCACTCAGGTGTCACCCTGTACTCAGAAACAGGAACAGCTTCCTAGTGCAGGGAACAGGGACACAGTTGTGTCTTTAAGAGTGACACTAAGGGATGGGGATACAGTTTGGCGAGTAGCGGAGCACTTGCATGCCAGGGCCAAGGCCTTGGTTG